GACTTTTTCTAAAATTACATGATCAAAATTACAAACAACCTGGGTTTTTTTTCAGGATGGAAAAAGTTGAGATTCTCTCTTGAGAAAAAAAAATAAACAAATAACAAAAACATGGCAGGTCAGTCATCAGCATAGACAAAACAGCACTTGTCAATATGGCTCCCGTGTAATGCAGACTATGAATTGTGAAATTCCAACTCTTGTTATGCCAAATTATGAAGAAGTGTTGCTACATGTGCAGCAGGCAGAAATAAAACATCACTATCCAGCTTGTTCTCTAGTCATTGAACATTAGGAAAACATACAGTTAAGGAAGATGAACAGATCATTTCATGAACACTTGGGATAAACAGCAGAACTCAGGAATGTGTTCATCACACACACACACACACACACACACACACACAGTTTGCCAAAATAATCTTTTCACTTTGGCCTGAAAGATATGGCATAGTATCCTCTGTCTCCTGTTACAAAAAAAAGTTTGCATTACAACACACAACACTTTGAAGACAGTGGTTAGAGAACATCAGCAGATCCAAAGAACACAGAATCATGCCAAAGTGATTCATTGAGATTTTTGACTTACCTTATTAGTCTTGTTTGCATAGTCTGTGGTTACTCCGATATATGAGGTCATCAGAGGAACAGATTGCTAAGTTTTTACTAGCTACTCTGGAATTTCAATCACTGATGGTGATTTGTGTGTGTTCTGCACTGAAGTTATTTTTCCTCCAGCATTGACTTGCATGATTGTTGCTCTTTTAAAGCCAAGGCTGTAACTTCTGAGGCGAAAACAAAAGCTCAATGTAGATGCACCTGCATTATTAGACATTTAATATTAGAATTATTTGCCAGAGCATATAATATAAAGGTTTTATTTTTTTTTTGCAATATACACTACATGGCTAGCATTTAACGTGCGATTGGAAATGGAAGTGTTTTTGATCATTTTATAGTCAACAAAGCTGTAATGCATGCGGCAGCCATCAAGCGCTATTGTTATCAGCATCAGTCGCAAACTGATGGCAAAATATTATATTCCAGTCATCTCTAGGTCATGACAACAGTGGGCTGCGCACTTCATTTCTGACCTCTAATGTTCATCAAGTATACACTCAGATAGTCTGAGATTGCATAGCTATTTGTGAAGTGCATTTCAATAACTTTAGTCTACACACATTTTCCCTTCAAAATGAGCTTATTATGCCAAGGTGTGTTTGATGTTCTGAACAACTGTTTCCGAGATGCAAACATATCTTTGTATCTAATTACAAAGAGTACAAACTTCCCTTCTCTGGTTCAATGCACAATATTAATGAGGTCAATGATTATGTTAATTGGGGAGCATTCTACAGCATGTTTTAATTAGTTCTCAGTATTCTGATTTAATGAAGAGCCTGAAAACTTCACTGGATGCTTGAAATGCATACAGTTCTCTGCATACACTCTTTGAAAGGACATTTAAAGAACTCTGCAACTCCGTAAAGCCTATACAGAGTTTATTCAAATTATTTGAGATACTGTATTCTTTTGATTGATACCATTTAACTGTATAATTTAACCCCCCCACCCGACAAAATGCCCATCTTGCAGTTTACGAGCACAATATCTTTTCTACATATATATATATATATATATATATATATATATACATCTGGCCATGTAGTTTTCTATTTGGAAACATACACTCTCTTATTATCTGCCTCTAATGCCTGGCCCATGAAATGCAAAAAGAAGTGACAGGTCTCCCTCCGGGGATAAATATTTAAATTCATGTGGAAATAGGGCTGGCTTCTATAAATGGCACGAGCATACAGTGCGCCAGGGTGAAAAAAAAAAAAACAAGAAAAAAAAAAAACAGTATGGCGTGTACAAAGGGACATATAGTAAAAAAAAACATTTGGATACGTTCACCAGATTTCTCCTCTTGGAGCCCCTACAGTATCAATTTAAAGTTATTCACTAACATTTTCTCTTATATATATTGTTATTATATATTGCATTGTTAATTTAGTATAATTACTCAGTAATAACAAATGTAATAATAATGTAATTACAAAATGAACAATGTAAAATCGTTTATTTAACCACACATAAGAGTGTATTGTCTATGCAGTAAGACTAAAATTATTATTATTATTTTAAAATGTTGACCTTTTAGAGACAAGTGTGTGGTCACTCAGTTAATACAGATATGTATATTATGATAAAAGACGTTAAGTGTTTCTGCATGCTCCCCTGGCCTATCAAAACAAGAAAAAATACCTATTTGCATGTCTTTGCACTACCGATCTATACTGCTTTCTTTACAAAGCAATGATAAATACTCTGAAAATAATCATCCATCTCAATGCAAAATAACAGTCACACTCAACAGATTCTCTGGCGCACTCTTGTCAATTTGCACTCTGCGTTCAAGTTTATATGACTTTTTTTTTTTCTCATCCTGCTCTCAGTGCAACGTGTTCACCCGAACAAGAAAGCGCTGAAGTCAGAGAAAGGTCAAGCGCATAGGAATGAGAGGAGAAAACTGTCAGCTACTTTTACATGACAGAGAAAGAACAGAGATGCATCCATCTCTAGACAACAGCTGTGCAACAATCACAGAAAGTTCAGCAGTCAATTTAAATGCAGCTCAGTATTTGGCTATGGAAATCATACTGAGAGCCATAAAAACATGGAGCTAACGGTTATTTAGGATTAGGTTAAGGTTAATAGTTACGTAAGGCTCGCCTTTACTGTTATGTAACTTGTTGGAAAGTACATTGTCATTTTTCGTTCTCAAGCAAGACGCTTAGGAAACAAATACGGCTAAGGATGAAATGAAGGTTCACTCCCTGATGAAATTTACACCACGTTAAAGTAATGTGATTTTTTTTTTAATGTTCAAATGCTTTTTTGTTTAATGTTCAAAAGCTTTGACTTATTGATTTGAATTGCACTTTGCGTTTTGCATTCAGACTGCATGTCAAAATTAGAGAAAACAAACGTCTTGCTCAAGTTAAAAAGTAATTTTATTCGCTGTTAAGCTAGATGATGGCGTCGAAAAGCAAATAGTCGGTCTTCTTGTAAGAGCGTTCACAGAGAAACCCTTTCAGTTTTCAAGCAGTAGCCAAGGTCTACGATTTATATTTAATATATGCAATAATGCATATATTTTTGTTCTGCCCATGTTGTAAATTTGTTTTTTTTTTATTTCGTAAAATCATTCAAGTTAAAAAGTAATTTTATTCGCTGTTAAGCTAGATGATGGCGTCGAAAAGCAAATAGTCGGTCTTCTTGTAAGAGCGTTCACAGAGAAACCCTTTCAGTTTTCAAGCAGTAGCCAAGGTCTACGATTTATATTTAATATATGCAATAATGCATATATTTTTGTTCTGCCCATGTTGTAAATTTTTTTATTTTTTTTATTTCGTAAAATCATCACATATTTATTCCGTGTGACAATTCATAAGCATCTGTATTCTGTTAGAATCTTTAAGGTTTTCCTAAACTATTGTTGTGCTATTTCCAAAACAATGCAAACAGATAGCCTTTAATGTGGTGTTATTAAACATATTATGTGTGTAACACCTAAATGGATTTGTATTATTATTATTATTATTATTTATTTATTTTTTTTTATTTTTTTCAATAGCTAGTTCGTCTTAAATTTAATTTGAATGTTGGGGTTACCACAACGGGCAAACTGACAAAAACAGGCACGGATATATTAGTTAACATTCATATCCATCAAATAATCTAACGTAGCCACATTGTAATAGCGTTTGTCCATGGATATGATTGTTGTGCTTTTATTTTCTGGAGTAATGAGGATAACAGGCGAAACGACTTCCTTCAAAAATGTGCATTCCATTGTATGGATCAATACATAACACTTTCTGCTACTACTCTAACGGTGCATGAATGAAAATGTACCAGGACGTTTGAATAGATAGAGTGTTAAATAGAGTCGAACAATTCATTTTATTACCACCATTCACATATCTCAAAACCTAATAACCCGTGGAAGGAGAATATGAACATATTTCGAAAAAAAAAAATCACCTCCGACATAATGCATTCCGTATTCGCCCCTACTGTTTGATGTGCCAATATGTTTATATTTTCCCGAAGTCAGTATCTCCTCCTGTCGGTGGGCTATTTCTCACGCGCACGGCAGTCTACACTCTTGCCTGCACTTGTGCACACCCCCAAGAGGAACATGTAAACATTGTAGCATATATTGCATTTTCCTTTAAGCGACTAAGCACCGCTTTGCAACTAACATGTCGTCGGATCACATTTAAAAACAAAAATACATCCAAATGGCCACGAATTAGAAAAACTGCAATGCTCGATTCATTAGTTTCATAGCCTTGGGGCACAGTTTAAATTTGCACATGCTAATGATCTTGTGTTATCTGAGACACACACACACACACACAAAGTTGCATGCGTGCATAGTACTCATAATAGTACAGGCCGCGTGCTTGGCTGGACTTACGAGCGCTCAGATTGCACCCTCCCTCTATAGGTATAGACAATCCCTCTCTTATTCTGGAAAACTTTGCACTTTCTAACCATGAAGAAATACGCAGAGGTTAAACGATTTATCATTTTGTAGATTTTAATATCCAAACAGCATCTTTTGCAGTTGGCAAAATCGCTCAGTGAGAATCGTGCACTGGCGATATTAAGCACGCTCATGATCTTGATGTGCCTAATGGGGCGATCAAGCAACTTGCAACCAAGAACAAAGCCCAACAGTGACTCTCTTCTTGGACTAAAAACCTTCACTCCTACCATATACTGGTCCCAAACAAGCATAATTATATAAGGCCGTGACGAGAGTTAAGTAACGTTAACTATTTAAATAAGACAACGTAGATAAGTACATTCGTCACGATTTGACGTTTTAATGCATTAAAACGTTACTCAGGGGATTTTTTTTTAATTTTAATTTCTGACAATAATGAGGGTACAAAAGTGAAATTAAATGAATTCTTCCTGCTGAATTAGTGGGGCAAAATATAAAAGCAGGCGCTGGATTTATTTAGGACTGAAATGTCATTTTGATTTGCGTAATTCACATTTCCTTTTTTAAGCGTTAAATTCCATTTCAGATTTTCCGATCGGGCAAATACTTTTCCACAGCCGGGGAATGGACACGGAAACGGTTTCTCTCCGGTGTGCACTCTGATATGATTCACAAGTTTATACTTTGCTTTAAACGGCTTCCCTTCCCGGGGACATTCTTCCCAAACGCAAATGTGATTCGACTGCTCTGGTCCCCCAACGTGCTCCACCGACAGGTGGGTCACGAGCTCGTGCATGGTGCTGAAAGTTTTGTTGCAGGCCTTTTTCGGATTCGTCAGCTGCTCCGGTTCGACCCATTTGCAGATGAGCTCTTGCTTAATGGGCTGTCTCATGTACCGAAAGAAGGCCCCTGCCCCGTGATGGGCAGCCATATTCATGTTCATGGGGCCATAGCCGTGCAACTGAGTCGAGGCGTAGTGCTCGGACCTGGGGCTAGCGACGTGACCGTATTGCTCGGCCCTGCCGTACATGTCCCCGGAGAAGCCCAGGCGCATCTGACTGTTCACCACGTTGGAGGACGCGTGTGTGGCCGCTTGCTCGTGCAGTCCCTGGAAGAGCAGGTGCCCAGCGGCGTCAGAGTGTCCATGTGGTCCGGCGAAACTTCCAGCGGCGGAGGCGAACAGACTGTGCTGCGCGCTCGTGGCGTCTCCGAAGCCCCGATTGCGAAAGAGAAAGTCCCGGGTGGAGTTGAAGGCGGCGGTGGAGTACGAGCTGACATGAGTGGGGTGATGATGGTGTCCCAGGGCGGCAGCGGCGGCGTAACCGGGCGCTTGCGAGGAAAACGCCGTTTGCCCAGAGCCGAGATCGTGGGAGCTATGGTTGATTTTAAAAGCGCCCATACCGTCGGCGAACGGATTGATACCCAAAGCCACTTCTCTGTCTGTAACTTCGCCTGTTGAGTGATGCCTGGTGGAGCCGAAAGTAGTCACTCCAATGGTGGGATACTGTGGTCCTGCGTCCAAGAGCATCTTCAGTCTGCAGCGGAGGAGACTGAGAGAGGAAGAATCTCTAACAACTGTCTCTGCTTGCTATTTCTCTGACTTAAGTCTGTGCAAGGCAAACTCCGATCCCCTATTCCTATTTACTTTTAGTAGAGAGGAATTTCCCTCTCCTGCTCATCCGATGCGCACGCAAATCATGTGCAATATTGTCTTTTTGCGGTTTATCTTCCTGTGGCGCAACTTTCACCTCCTCAGTCAGGCGGTGAGCTTCAGACTGATAGTCGCAATCATTCCTGCAGATAAATGAATTGAAAAGACAACACAGTCCACCCCTGATGAATGGGGAAGGAGGGGGGCAGCACGTGACCCCGTGCTTGGACCATCATTGGAGAGGGCGCTCTCCCCCTACTAACATTCACTCACCAAATAACAGCCCGCCATGCCTCAGCATCAGTGCGATTGGTCGGTTTACATCATCAATCTATGGGATTGTCGGGAGGTTGCTGACTGTGATTTTGCTCTGGATGTTGAAAATCAGAAAAGAGACTTTAGTGAATGCATGGCCGAATAATAGCCTTTGTCCTAGACACGGAGTACTTCCACGTTTGGCCTACTTATGCGGAAGCCTGATGCTCTGAGAAGAACCCGGCGCGCATCTAGTAAACACTAGCTGCAATGTGATAAAGTGTAGCCTGTTCTTAAATGGCATGGAACTCATGCGTTTCATTCAGAAGAACCAAGTGCTAAAACCAAATGCTTTGTAAAAATCAAATGCTACGTTTCACGTTTTTTTAAATTCTTTTCCATAAACGTGGAGAAAAAAAATACTCCTATGTTAGTTAGCAATATACATGCCTCATGTTGAAGTCGTACAATTTAGCACTGCCATGCTATTTGCATCTTTATTTGTCAATGGTACACACTATTAAACATAAAGATAATTGCATATAAAGATATTAAATTCAATGTAGGATTGGGCCGCAACACTTATGCATAAAGTTTTTTGGCTACTTTAGCAGTGGGCATTTCAGGTTTGGTTGACTTTCTTTACATGCATCATTTTAATGAAGTTTCTCGCTTATGCAAAACACTTGTATTGTACTGTTGTTGCAATTTAATTATTGCTTTGAACTTCTCATTATATACTTTAAACGAGAACTGAGTGCCTTTTTAACACACCACATGCTCTGCGCACTCAGTAGGCCTTCCGCAGACGCCTTCAAACTTCAAATAATATATTCAAACCTGCGAACGAGGTGTCTCTTTCCGTTATTCATATTTTTAAGCTATGTTTTTGAAAAATGAAGGCCGTAAAGTATCACCCTTATGTGTGTAAAAGTTGTGGGTTGTGGAAGTTGTGAAATGGGATTTCTCTCTGCAGGAAACTCCGGCGGCTGGAGTTCAAAGCCGCATGAACAGACGAACCATTAAAATATCATCCAGACTGCAGCCTTCAGCTTCATACACTACCAAACTCCTTCCAGAGAGAGAGCGAGAGAGAGAGAGAGAGAGAGAGAGAGAGGAGTTGAATGTTTTGTCTGAAGGACGTTATCTTTATAAAAGAAATCTGGACGATGTCTTCAACAGGTGAAAAACGGTAAGACTCATAGCGTGGGGACGAAATAAGTTTTGGAGGCATCATTGGGAAATATTTACCGAGCACCCTGGACAGATTAAAAAAAATAAAAATAAATAATGTTTTGTTTTTGTTTTTTATACACAAGTACTGCTTGCAGCAATTAAAATCTTAAAGACTGGACACATTGAAGGGGTATGTGTAATAAGGAATAATAATTAGTTGTTGTTGTTATTATTATTATTATTATTTTTTGTAAATTAATATTTTAAGAACATAACAAAACACCTATTCTGTTTGTTACCATTCAACCTCATTTTATTTA